CCCCCCCACCGTATTTTACCTCACCGCCTTACGATGCTCCCTCCGTACACAGAAATCCCGCACCCTCTACCGAGAGCAACCGCAAGACGGGCGGACCCCGGCGGCTGGCTACGGGGCGATGGGCCACGCGGCGGAGTACTCGGGCGGCGGCAGCCAGTACCACCACGCCCCGGAGACGCAGAGGGCCGCGCAGCTCGCCCGCGCCGCCCGTACCGCCCAGTACCACGAGCAGGTGCAGGTGCTGCAGGCTCAAGCGGCCCGCGCGGCGGCTGCGGCGGCGACTGCGGCGGCGGCGGCGCAAGGGATCGCAGGGGGGCCGTGGGAAGCTCCCGAGGTGTGCGTAAACCCTGTCACTAGTTAGTTAGGAGGAGGGTGGTGCAGAGTAATTGTTGTTGTTGTCTTCACATTAAAAGTCGGTCCGATCTCTCTATTCAGCGCCTTCAGATGTTCGTACTGATATGGGATGCAGCGAAAGCCCCTTTTACCACGACACGCGATGCACGGCAGAAAAAACACAGGTATTATAGAACCTCGAAAGCTGACGGCATGCATTTTCGCAAACCAGAAGAGTGAGGGTTAGGTGGGTTCGTGGAGAGGGACGTGCGGAGCCAGTGACTAAGTGACATCAGACCACTTACCCCACCCATCCACCTCCTTTGCCCCACCCTCCCGCGCGCCGGGTTGTTGCCCCGTTTGTTGGGCAAAAACGCAGCAAGCGCGGGTGAGGACTTCCAAGTACCACGGTGTCTCCTTCTTCAAGGGACGATACACTGCACAGTTCACCTGGGGCGGGAAGCAGGTGCGGGGTGACTGACGTGTTTTTTTTTTCTTCGTTTTTTGGGTGAGCAGAACGTCTCAAAATCGTTCTATTTTCATGCCCGTAGCCCTACATCTGTGCCTCGGCGTGTGTACTGTAGAATGTTAGTGCAAGCGAGCGGGGGATGTGCCGCAACAGCGCGACGCGTGATGCGTAAGGACGCCATGCTTCCGTTTTTGCCGGACCTCGCCCTGGAGTTTTGCGTGTTGGGGGAAATGGAGGATGCGGCCGTGTTACCAGCCGAGAGGACAGCCGTCTGAAAACCTGCAGGGATTCGCGAGTTGCAAGAGATCCCCCTGGAATATCGACATCGTCTCTCTTGACTTTTAATTGCGTGGCACGGGCGGGTTCGGCTCGCTCGAGATTCTACCGTCTGTGGGCGTGGCAAAAATGTTGGAGAGGGCGGACGGACTCCGCCATCACCAAAACCCTCACCAAAGAGGGGTGGACAGCAGTACATCGGGCCTCCGCGCTACTGCGCAACCCCCTGCTAGTGTTGAGCTGCTCTTGGTCGGGAAGCAGGGCGTACCAACAGGCACTCGGGAATATACCATGGCTCAGAAAAAGGGTCTCACGAATGACAAGCTGCACCTACCAGCCAGCCCCCTCGCGTGTTGTCTTGCGCCCAGCTGTGCGTCTCGTGGCGTTGATAGACGATCAACTCTTGCTTTTGTTTCCTCGGGCGTTCCCTCGAGGGAACAGAGACGTAAAAGACGGCTGAGAGTGGTATTCATTTTTATTTTGTTTTCCGGTTTGCACAGATGCGTTGTGCCGCTAAAATCGCCCAAAATGCCAACAACTCTCATCAAAGTCCGTCAGACTGTCTGTCGTTCAGACACCCCTTTCCAGTCCTCCGTACTTATGTTCATCTCGTTTTACGCTTGCTGTTTATTTGCCGCACGCGGTGCGCTCGTGCGTGTCGTCGTCGTTGTTGCTGCTGCCGCCGCCGCCTCGAAACCGCCAGTATTACTTGGGCCGGTACGACACCGAGGGGGAGGCGCACACCGTGGTCCAACGAGCCACGAAAGAAGTCATGGTGCGTCCGCGTCTACTGTAGCTCTTTCTGAATGCCGGCTAGCCCCGAGGCCGCCGCCGGGTGAAAGAGTGCTGCGGTGGCCCTGGCATCCTGCCGCAAGGCGTGCTTACCATTTGCCGGGAACCGTGTCTCGTTCCTGGCGGCGTTGTTCCGAGGGGGTGCTGTGTGCGGGTAAATTGTGTTGGGGGAGAGGGGCACGTGCTATTACTGCTTTGAGTATCCCCTTTCCACCTTTCCATCGTCCTTTTGTGTTGGTGCTTGAGAGCAACGAAAACACGCGTTGTGTGCATGCGCGCGCGTTGGTTCGGGCTTGTTTTGAGCAACACGGTCGTGTGCGCGACTCGGTATCAAGTCCGAGATCTGTCCCGCCCTGGGGGCGGGCAGGCAGCGCAAGCTCGTCAGCATGTCCCTCCCTCCCTCCCTCCCTCTGTGCGCTCCCTATCTCATGGAAGCACTCACGACAACATCAGTCCCTCCCGCAAAAACGCAAGGTCAATGGTCCAACCGCTAAGGCATGCAAAACATAAGAGTACGCCCGCCCCCTAGAAAACAAAAACACCAGGATAATGACCAGCTCTGGTTCATCCTTGTAAAACGTAGCCTGGGCCGGCGAAAACCCGGCATATCGCTCGTTCCGGCATTATAGGGATGCGAGGTCACCAATGGCCTAACGACTACGGCATGCATGTACATCATTTACATAAGTTCCTCCCCTCCGTCCCCGCGAGGAAGCGTGGTCGATGGTTTCACCGCTAAGGCATGCAGGAGTTGAGAGGACGCCCCCCCCTCCCGTCCACGCGCCAACGCCCATCTGTCCCATGCCGCCCTACAAAAACACATGGTGGCGTATGATTATGTTATATTATTCTAGGAAACGGGGAGCCTGACGCTTCCGCGCAACCGAGGAAATGAGGTGGTCCAGTTTGGTGCTCCTCGCTACCCCGAGGGTTGGACCGGCAACGACGAGTGGAGAAGGGAGACCAACGCCAATGCGATGGGTGGCGCCGGTGAGTACAGCCCTTTTTTTTTTTGTGCGGGTGTGGCCTTTTTCTTGATTGGTTTGTTGGGTTGCATTTCGGGGCGGGAGGGGGGGGCGTACTCTTATATTTTGCATGCCTAAGCGGTTAGATAGACCGTTGACCACGCGTCCTCGAGAGGCCGGAGCATTGTTCCCCACAGGACCGATCACCGATGGCCAATCGTTCCTTCCTACATTGCCAAAGGTGTTTCAATAATTTCTTCCCTAGTCTATCCTAACGATATCCCTTCCCGCCCTTTCAAACCACTCCCTACTCCCCAGTACAGCTGCCGTCCTCTCCTCTTTATTCCATGCCTCAAACCTCTCCCTGTACCTTTCTTTTTTTTTCCCAGCTCAGTCTTGTACACTTCGCTCTCCTCTTTGTACAACTGACATTCCGCGACTACATTAACACGGTCTTCGCATTGGAAGCCGCAATCACATTTGAATTTGCCGTCTTCGTCGTCTTCGTCGTCTACCGTCCTATATCTTCGTCCAAGTTCTCGAAGGCCGATGTCCCCGGTCCTGAGTTCGACCTTGAGCTTTGTCCCTGCATCCATTGGTCCATGTAGGCAATAGGTAACCCTTGAACCCTATTCCTTCTTTCAACATTCCGTACACTTCTAGACCCTCATTATCCTCGGTTTCTTTCCTTAGGTTCTGTTCTTCTCCCTCGGCACAAGCAACATATATCTGCTCCTTAAACCCCTGTAGACCCTCCGTTTCCAGCGTTTCATCTTCGTTAATGTCGAGCCCCTTCCATACGTCCTGTACAACCTTGACCCATTCCGTGGGTTATCTACCCCTATTTTTGTTTACCCACTTCGCCTCCCATACTATTCTCGGCAACCTCTCCTCTCCCATCCCGCACATGTGATACTGCCATATCAGCTTCCTTGTGTCTCTTGCCGACCGTAGGATTGGATCCCCGATCCTGCCCTGACGGCTGCACTTGTGCGCTTGGAGCATGCTGGAATGATTTTCGCTTTCATCTGCGCCGCCCCGAGTTCTTTAATTACCTCCTTATTTCCTTCCCATATTGCTCCGGCGTAATCTAGCGGCGGTAGGATTACGCTCTTCAAAACCGTCAACTNTTTTCGCTGCTTTCATCTGCGCCGCCTCGAGTTCTTTCACTACCTTCTTATTTCCTTCCCATACTTCTCCGGCGTACTCTAGCGGCGGTACGATTACGCTCTTCAAAACCGTCAATTTGATGCGTGTATCGAGGTGCCGGTTTGCGAGTATTGGGTGCAGCTTCCCTGCTCGTGCTTTGCCCTTTTCCGCTACCTTGGACATGTGTGCGTTCCACGAGCAGCCCTTTGCGATCTCTACTCCGAGCTATACNTCAATTTGATGCGTGTATCGAGGTGCCGGTTTGCGAGTATTGGGTGCAGCTTCCCTGCTCGTGCTTTGCCCTTTTCCGCTACCTTGGACATGTGTGCATTCCACGAGCAGTCTTTTGCGATCTCTACTCCGAGGTATGTGTACTGGTCCACTACTGCAATCTCCTCGATCCCCCACTTCCATCTATGTTCTACTGGTTCCTCCCTGTCCTCGTTGCATACCATTTCGGGCCGGGGGGGGGGGGTACTCACAGTCGTGCATGCTGTAGCAAACTTCTTCGCCGCGTCAATTTGCA